TTTTCAACTTTTAGAGTAAATTTAGAGACAAGGTACGAAAGACTTTATTAGGGTTATGGACCAAAATGTAAATGTTAAATTTATATTTAATGTTAATATTCATGATATAAGAGTCAAGATGTAGCTAACTAAGAAGGGAGTGGGAGGAGAAAGATAGAAGGAAGGCTAATGGCACAATTGATTGTTTCACATGATAAAGAATCAGTCTGTGAACTGATCTGGCCTGTATTAAGACATGGTACATTGGTGGACTTAACCAACTGGGGACCTAAAATAGTTTAAAACATTGTTGCATCTATACTGAACCTGGACACGTCTTTTTCTTGTTATTGTTTCCTAAACAATGTAGTATTATAACTATTATATAGCATTTACATTGTATTAGGGAATGTCTACCACTAAGCCACATCTCTAGCCCTTTTATTTTTTATTTTGAGACAGGGTCTCACTAGGCTTCAAACTTGTGATCCTTCTGCTTTAGACTCCAGAGTTGCTGGATTACAGGTAGGCACCACTTTTCCCATATAGAAATGATTTAAAATATATCAAATATATGATTATTTGCATTTACTTTAAGTTTCCAGCCCAAGTCAACCATCAATCTACCCTCTAGCCATATAGATTTGATTTTCCTAGACATTTCATATAAATAGAAATGGCTTCTTTCACTTAGCTTTTTTTAATATTAATTCATGTTTTAACATGCACTAATACAAAATTCCTTATTACTGCTAAGTAGTATTCCATTGACTGGCCATGGAACATTTTAGTTATTCATTCATCAGTTACAGACATTTAGATGATTTCCAGTTTGGGACCTTTATGAATACAGCTGTTCTAAACATCTATATACAGGTCTTTGTGGGATATACATTTGCATTTCTCTTGGATGCATTTATATGATAAACTTGTTTAACTTTTTAAGGAATTCTCAAATTATTTTCCTAAATAGTAGTCCCACCAGCAATGTATGAGTGCACTAGTTCCTCCATGTCCTTGTCAGAACTTGTTATTGTCTATCATTTTTGATTAATCATTCTTGTGGGTATGAAATTGTATCTTATGGTTTTTAATATTAATTTTTCTAGGGGCTGGGGTTGTGGCTCAGCGGTAGAATGCTCACCTAGCACATGCGAGGCCCTGGGTTCGATCCTTAGCACCACATAAAAATAAATAAATAAAGATATTGTGTCCGACTAAAAAATAAATATTTTAAAAATTTTTTTCTAGTAGCTATTCCTTTACTTGTTTAATTTCAACAATACTTGAAAATAATCCTTGATTTTTTTTTATTTCTTACCATACTCATCTATTTTGTGGTTGTACACCTTAGTATTTTTTAAATTACCCTTCTCCATTATCTTAATTCCTATTGCTTTGTTTGTTCACAATTCTTGATGATTAAAATAGCTTCTAAACTGCTTTCTCTGATACCATTTCTTCTGCAGGTTCCAATCTATTTTCCATACTTCCATCAAAATGAATTTCATAAAATGTAGATACAACCATGTCACTCCTTTGCTAAGAACCTTTCAAAGGCTTCTCAATGCCTGCAGATATGGACTCTGTTTGCCTCATACATACTACCTATTCTTGACACTTTTATCCCACTTTCTTATAAACCTGTATACTCTCCATATACACATACCTTATACATATCTTGGCCCATGATCTATCTATAATTATCTGACTACCTTGGAACTTTTTTCTTCTTTTATCTAACTACCTTGGAACTGTTTCCTCTATCTGGAATGCTTATCCATCTCTGTTTACAAACTCTCACTCATTTTTTTAAGGTTAAACACAAATAATTGTACATCTTGGAATCTTTTCCTGATTTTCCTTAACAGTTAAACTGTGTGTGTGTGTGTGTGTGTGTGTGTGTGTGTGTGTATGTGTTAATGTCGTGGTAAACATATGTTTGTGATAAGATTACATTGAATCATATAAAATTTTCCTTATTCTAAGTAAAAATAAGGTATATATGAATTTCTGTGTGAGTTAGCTTTCTGTCTTGGTGAAAAATACCTGAGAAAATCAAATTAAAAGAGGAAAGGCTTATTGTGGCTCATGGTTTCAGTCCATGGTTGGTGGCTGCATTGCTTTTGGGCCTGTGGAAAGGCAGAACATAATGGCAGGGAGCACATAGTGGAGCAAAGCTGCCATTTCGTGGTAGCTGGAGAGCAAAGAGAAAGAGAATGGGATGGAGTCCCACATCCCCTTTAAAGGCATTCCTCCATGACCTAACTTTCTTCAATAGGCCCTACATCGCAAAGGTTCCACTACCTCTCAATGGCACCATCAGCTGTAGACCATGCCTTGGGCAAACAGTTAAGATCCAAACCTTAACAAGGAGTCAGCCTAAAACATTTTTGCAGTTACTTGTTTTTGTATCTGTTATTCTCCAATCTAGCAAGAGACTGTCATTTGTTTAAGGGCAATGGGCCACCTAGTGCAGTTTGTTGACAGGTTAACAGAGAAATTATTCTTAAATACCAAGGCTTGCATTTAGAGTGAAATGTTGCTCTTTAAAGTCATTATATTTTCTACTTTGGAGTCACTTGGCTCCAAAGGCTGTTTATATGCATTGTGTCAAAAATAACTCACTATAAAACTGTCATGCTATATCTCTTAATAAGTACATCTTCAAATGTCATGGATAAAGTCACAGATTCACAGATTATTTCTCATGTGCAATTTAGTAGTCATTTCTGTGTTAGTAGACAACATAATAGTTTCATGGTTCAAGTAAAATAACAAAGGATACTGATTTTTCATAAACAAAACAAAACAGCATTTTGCTGGACATGGTGGTGTATGCCTGTAATCCCTGTGACTTGGAAGTCTAAGGCAGGAAGATGGCAAGTTCAAGGCCAGCCTGAGCAACTAAGCAAGGCCCTGAGCAACTTAGTGAGACCCTGTCTAAAAAAAAAAAAAAAAATAGGGCTGGGGATGTGCCTCAGTAATTAGACCCCTGAGTTCAATCTAATATCAGAAAAAAACAAAGCAAAATAAAAATATCATTTTGGAATTCTCACACCATAAGCTAAAATGACTTAAGTATGTGTGTATATATACATACATAATGATTATAGCTATATAAAATTTGCCATTGAATGTGGGAAATAATATATGGTAATGAAAAGAAATGTTTTCAGAGTATGTAATTATGAGTTTATTTTGATACTTTTTAAAAGAACAAATATATTAGTTTTTGTGTTTTACATCAGTCAAGTAGTGATATTGTCTGAATTGTGGCTTTAGAAAAGATAACCATCTAAATATTTGACATAATTTAGATAGCTATATCTAAGAACCCTGTACTTCATTTAAACAAAATTATAGTTTTAGTCAATATTTTAAAATATTTTTAAAATTTAACTTTCCTTAAGGGATATATAATAGCTTTGCTATAGTTTTAAAGTCATTATATTGTTATCAGTAGTAGGTAAGTTCAATAATTATATTTTAAATCAGACATGGGGTTATAAGTTCTATTAGAGCTATTATCATCTTTCAGTTCTATAAATTCTTCAAGTCATCATAAATAAATTTTATGTGGTATATAAGGAAACTATTTAAAAAAAAAGCCTTGTGGAACAATTGTCCATCAGCTCCACATAAAAATTCCTTTTCTTCACAAACTTAGATAGTACTCTTGAATTATCCAGACATGCAAAGGTAAGTAAGGAGTCTAAATAATGTGATTTAATTCATAACTTTAAAACAGGAACAGTGATTTGGAAGTACAGCTTAGTACAACTCCTTTTCTAAGTAAAATTCTGCCCCATTTGTGACTCTGAGCATGTAGACTGAAGGGTAGCTTTCTTAGTGGTGCCTTACCTCTGGGTACACCTTGGTCTATCTGCCTCTCTCTGGTTCACACTGCAGCCATATAAATCAATTTTTTGACATGTTATAAAATGTAAGTCACAGCTGCTATAGTCTACAGTATTCAAAAACTTTTGCAAAACTGCATGTCTAAATTTATTTTTTTAATGAATATAAGTTTTTATTGAGGTAAGCCATTTGTTTGGAAAAAAGAAACTCCAAATGAGAATTTCAAATTAAATAGTTTTAATGTGTATATACACTCTTTCTCTCTCCCTCTTTCTACTCCCTACCCCCTCTCTTTCTCTCTGCTTGTGTAAAAAAGAAAGAAAGGGAGTGATTGGGTTTGGGAGAAGACCTTGGAGTTACACCTGTATAAAAGGAAGTTGTAGATTAAGATTTCTGTTACAAAATCTTTATGCTTAAGTCAGAAGTAAATAGATTTTATAAAAAAGAATTAAGAAATTGTAATCATTATGTAAGTATAAATGCTTCATCTCTTCAAATTTATCTTAATTCCTTGTTTCTGTTATAGCAGAAAACTTCAAACATAAGCATGCCTCTTTAGCTACTTGGCTTTACCAGATGCCCAACATTTTTTAAAGAAAGGCATGTGTAGATTGATAGATGTAATGTGCAAGGTATGGTAAACTCAAAAGTGCTTTTAATGGTTCTAAAGAAATTTTAAAATTTTTAATGCTGTTGGAGATTTTTATATTCCATGTTTGACCATTTTCAATAAATTGAAAAATTGGAAGCTACTGATTCTACTTAAAAGTTAGATTATTAATAAATAGACTTTATGAAAAAGCAAAAAGTTCAGGTCATTCAGTTTCATTACTACCATATATGTTTCATATTCTCATATAGTACATTACTACATTAAAATGTTTATTAAAAACCAGCAATAGAACAAAAAGTTTTAAGATTATATTATTTTAGGAAATGATTTGTATTTAGTGCACTTATACTTTATAATGTTGATTCTTTGGTTTTATCTGCACAGATTTTTTAATTGATATATTCAAAACATAGATATCTAACTAATTTTGTCACTCACAAATAAATGACTTACTTTCAATACTTAAAGACTATCACTATTAGAATATTTGATGTAACTCCCTCAAAAGAATATTTTTTCTTAAATTATTAATTTTAAACTATTTTAGGTGCTGTTTTTCAACCCTAATCTTCTGACCAAGGATGAAACTATTTAAAAATTAAGATGCCAACAGGTAATTTCTTCTGTTTATACTTTTGTCAATGTGTGTTATTTTGAAATAGAACAACAGATTACATTAACACAAGATTATATTGTTCCTTATCTAAAATCTTCCCCAAAATATGAAATATTTTAGTTTTGAAATACTTTCCTATATAACATAAAACTTTTATTTTGGGTTTATGTGTTTTATTGTTCTTTACAAACTGACCAATTCTAGCTTACTCTATATCTAATATCAACTTCCCAAATAATAAGTAAATTTGAAACCAGAGCAAAGAATGAAAATAGATTCAGAGATAGTGATTCAGGTTAGATGAGTTTTTTTATTGATATAATATGTGATATTATTTCAGTAAATATATGTCTGGATATAATTAGTTAAAAAGGACATTACTTTCAGCTATGATAAATAGAAAATCATATGGGATGATTTCCATGATTCTGATGTAATGTAGTTTTAACTGGGATTTTGTCAACCAAATTATTCCTGAAAAATTGTATAGATTATTAAAAGTTGTTTAATTTTAAAGAAGCATGCATTGTGTAAAAAAGAAAAAACCTTAAAGTATTAGTTTTAGCTGGTTTACTTTCTTTTTCTTCAGTTCTTTGTAGTTCTATTTCTGTCTTTACATTTTTGTACTTTTATGGTTATAATATGCTGAAATAGGTTTTTCTCAATTCTGAAGTAAAAGGAAAGTTTCAAACTTTCAAATTCTGATTGTGAAGACATCTGGATCATAGTAGTTATCATTCATATGTGTGTGTGTGTGTGTGTGTGTGTGTGTGTATATATATATATATATATATGGTGTAGATGGACACAATACCTTTATTTTATTTATTTATCTTTATGAGGTGCTGAGGATTGAACTCAGTGCCTCATACATGCTAGATAGGTGCCCTATCACTGAGCTACAGTCCCAGCCCCAACAATTATATCTTAACAGGTATCAATATCTTAGTGGCAACCATATTAGAGAAAGTTTTTTTTTAACTAGTAAACTATCTTTAAATGCCAAACTCAGTGCTAAATGAGAGAATTGTCATTGTCTGCTTCACATTAGATGATTCTAAGTAATTTTTAGACAATCAGGAACTACCAAGGTAAAATTTTAAAAGCAGTATCATTCTCCTTTTAAAACCAAAAGATAAAGTTTTCAGCAATTTCCTAATCACAAATAGTAGTATAATGACCCAATAAATTTGACAATGGTTACTTCTGATTTTTTCTATACTGGTGTGGTTAAAAAAGAAACTTTTTGTAAAGAGATGGTGGGGGTGGGGTGGGGTATGAGGCTGAGTCTAGAAGGAAAGAGAAATACCAATGAGAGAGGGAAGGCAGAGAGAGGAAGAAAGATAAAGGAAAGATCAAAGATAAAGAGTGAGGAAAAGAAAGAGGAAAGAAAGAAGGAAGTGACATGGAGAAAGAGAAGGGAGAGAAAGGAAGCAAGAGGAGTGGAGGGTTATTTTCTTATTATTCTGAAAGTTTTGGCTATATGTTAAGCACAAACTTAGATTTTTAGTTTTACTTTAGGATTTTAGTCTTGTCAGTTATTAGCTTTTACCTAAAGTTCCCTTGCAAATAAAAATCTTATGAGATTATATTTTATTTTTCATGTTTGACTTTGGTTGTCATAGAAGAGGAATATTTTAAGATAAATTTGGAAGCAAAATTTATTTCAATTATCTAAATTTTTTTCCTATCACAATTTCAGATTTTAAATATTTGAAACATCAAAAGAAAAAGAAGAATTTAAATGCAACCTTAGGACAGGAAATCTCTAAGTAATACTGTAAAATCTTGGTGCTAAATGAGAAGGACCTATTTATTCTATGATCCTAATCGCTGCCTTTTAATCTAACTAATGCAGAGATTTCTTATTTCTGTTATGTGGCTTCTAAATCCATTATAATTAACAACCATATCTGTAAGATGGATTCATTTTTCTCTCAAAGTGATAGATTTTTCTTTCAAAGTGACTATGAAATAAGATTCTTTAATTTTGAGGAAAGATTCCTCATTCTAATTTTTAGTATTGCTGCTTCATTCTAAGACTGGTTATTCCTGTTTCTGATTGCATCAGAAGTATTTTAATATGCTTTTCTCTGTTCCATATGCATGTGTGTTTTAGATCACGAGGAGCCCTGTGGTCCCAGTTACAGGTCATTTTGCCTGAATGGGGGGATTTGTTATGTGATACCTACTATTCCCAGCCCATTTTGTAGGTGAGTGAAATGGACTGGGGGAGAGGGTAATTTTATTTCCTACAAACTTATTTGAGAAGTGAGAAAAAGTAAACAAAAAGTGTAAGAAATATATATATATATATATATATACATACACACATTTACATATATATATATATGTAAATATAAGAAAATATGAGAAATATTCTTCGTGTTTTTATTATTTTTAAAATAGGCATTGGTAGTTTCTAGCCATATAGAGTATTGAAAATAATCCATTTTAATGAACTCTGAGTTTTAGCAATTTAGGGAAGGCAGTTTATATTTAATATTAATAACAAAACAACGAGAGAATTCATTAATTAAAATACCCAATATAAGACACATTGTTTTGAATTTAGACTGACTGAGTTGGCACTAAAACTTATACTTGGTATATTAAAAAGAAAGTGAAAAGTTAAGTTTTTCTAATGTTGGTACCAAATCTTAACCACTATTGTTTTAAAATAACATATTATTTTGGGAGTACAGACAGCAGAAAATCAGTAAAATGATTCAAAATAGAATTTGTATAGTACTTCCTGTGAGTTTAATTGACTAGTATTTTTTTTGAGAGAGAGAGAGAAGAGAGAGAGAATTTTTTAATATTTATTTTTCAGTTTTTCAGTGGACACAACATCTTTATTTTATTTTTATGTGGTGCTGAGGATCGAATCCAGCGCCCCGTGCATGCCAGGCGAGTGCGTTACTGCTTGAGCCACATCCCCAGCCCCTTAATTGACTAGTATTTAAGGGTATTAAAAAAAAAAAAACAAAAAGAAAAACCTTTTTTAGTGCATGAGCTAGGAACAAAGAACTATCACTGAGGCCCATAGATTTTGTGGAGTAACTCCCTACAACCTCAAGATATTTTATAACCTGTGTGAATTACTTGTTTGCTCTTTAACTGAAATGAGAAGTATAGAATATAAATTTAAGATTTAAGTTCTTATTGAATATAAGGATAGAAAAGTCAAATTTATGGGAAAAGTTAAAGATATTGGGATCTGGTTTAGAGGAGAGGAGAGAGGTAAGTAACGTCATTCTTATCTGGAAGTTTTTAGTGAACTCTGACTTTTAGCAATTTAGGGAAGGCAATTTATGTTTAATATTAATAACAAAACAAAAAGTTCTTAGGGGTTTTTCATATTGGGAACAGTATTCATATTGGGAATAATGCCTAGAGTTTTTTTTCCTCAAATGACCATATAAAGGGAATGGGGAGGAGGAACAGACCAACAATTACTCAACATCCACCATGTGCCCCAACAGTATGTTTTTTAAAAATCTATCTTACCAAGATATAATGTATGTATGATAAACTACACTTGTTTAAACCACACATTGAATTTTAGCAAATGTCAAACCCATGAAACTGCCACAACCTCCATGTCAAGATATAGAACATCTCCAATGCCCCCCCACCCAAAATTTTTTTGTTGACCCTGTTCTTTATTTATATTTTAACACTTTATTCTCAGCAACCTTAGAGGAAGGAGGCAGGGGAAACTTAAGAAGTAGAAAAGTATGTAGAAAATGAGAATTTAAGTGAATTGTTAAAGGTCATACTTTTTTTGACCCCAAAGGCTGAATCCTTTTTCCTTCTCAGAATGGTGGAACCAATAATAAGACCAGGCACCAATTGAGTAGCAAAGAAGACTTTTATTCTTGACCAAAAATATGAGAAGTGCAAGATACACTTGCAAATCAACTTTTCTCAGGGGTCAGAAGGTTGTAGATACAGGGCACAAGAAATGAGGGAGAAGGGTAAGGTAATGCTGGGGAGGAATGTTCAGGTATTCTATTATAATGAAGTTCCAACCTACTTTATCTAGCCCAGCAGAGGAGGAACTTCTAGTCTTCGGGTGTCTTGTCATCAAAGATGTTTAGGAAGGATAAAAACTAGGCCACCTAGGCAGTCATCACCAGAGCAGGGAAGTAATACAGCTAGGAAGAAGAAAGGAATGACCTTTAGATTCAACTTTCAAGGTGTGTTTAATCTTTTAATACATTTATGCTGCATCCTTTCTAAGGGGACATGGCACATGGCATTTATACAATGAAATTATAATGCTTATCAGAAGATATATATTTAATAATTAAAATATACTATAGTTTTTTTTTGTCTTGACCTTGGTGGTGACAACATGGGTGAAAAGACTGTTCTTCCTTATTGAATTGCCTTTGTACCTTTGTCAAAACTCAATTAACCAAATATGTGTGGGTCTATTTATGGATTATTCTGTTCTGTTGATTTTTTTCTGTCTTTTCACCAACACCAAATAGTTTTGATAATTATAACTTTATGATGAGTGAATTGTGTTCTGTGATTCTAAACCCTATTTTGGGGGTTAGGGAAAGGGATGTTCATTGGTCTTTGGCCTTCTTTTCTAATAGATTGTGTGTATTGCTTAAAAAAATTCAAAATAGTTTAGTGTCATCTTTAAAGAGACTATAGTTGTTGAGTTTTAAGTTTAAAAATTTTGTTCTGTTATGATTTTTTTTATTAGCCAATGGGTTTTTTTTTTTAAGTTTATTTAGCTCACAGTTTTTGAGGTTGAAAGTCCAGGATCCTGTGGCCCCGTTGGTTTGGCCTCTGGGTTCCTTCATTTACATCACAACATGGTGGAGGAGCAGAAAGGGAACCCAGAACATGCAGAAGGGGACCAAGCATGTGGCCTGACTTTATAACAACCCACTGTCATGAGAACTCACTCTGTGAGGCTAGCCTTAATCCCCTCAGAGGGTTTGCTCCCATGATGTGATCACCTTCCGTGAGGTCCTATGGGGGATTCTAATTATCCTTTATAGTTATATCTAATTTAATTGCATTGTGATCAGAGTACTTGATACATCAAGCTGTCTGCACTGAATAAATTGAAAGAATTAGGAGCACTGGGATTTGGAAATTCATTAAATTGGGAAGTTTGTCACCCTGCCTTTGTACCTTGAATAGATGCATTCCTAGTGTACTTTTAAAAAGATCTATGAAAGACAATGGGCAACTTGACTGGTAACCCACACCAAATTTAAAAGTCTAATTCTTTCCTAATTTTGTATTTTAAGCGGAGTAATTAGGGAGTGGTTGAAAGCATGCCCATAGGTTTTGATGGATAGAGACTGAAGCCAGGTTTCCATGTGGCACAGCCTCAGGAGGTGAGTGAATTGGCATCCTCTGTGTGATCATTAGTGCATCCAAAGAACTGCGTGGCACCCTGGGAGGAAGTGAGGGGCTGGGATTGGGGAACATGAGGAGGACAAAAAGAACACTGAGAGAAGGAAGGAATTCAGTGGTTGAGGGTTCAGGAAAGTTGAATGGCAGGTTTATTTTAAGTCACATTTTATAAAATGTAATTGCTGCCAGGTGCGGCAGCGCACACCTGTAATCTCAGCTGCCCAGAATTACAAATTTGAGGCCAGCCTCAGCAATTTAGTGAGAAGAGTTTCCCTGCAAAAAGAAAAGTAATTGCTTTCCAGTGATCTTAGAACCATATTTTTAATATAGCTGTATAGACTGTTATAATAATATCTAAGAGTAATAAACTCATTTTCAATGCCAACTCATACATTCATGCACAGGGGTGTTTCTATCAGTGACATCCCAGCCATCTTGTCACTGAGAAATGCAGATTCACCTTTGACTGTATTATTGGCTCTTCATCTGGTTGTCAAATTATAGTTTTTTGTCTTTGATCTCTCCAGTCCATTCTGTTCTGATTATCATTATACTAACTCAAACCTTCTTAACACCTTGCTGTTGTCCATGTAAATAGTCCCCAGATGAGTTTCTCTTGAGCCTAATTCTCATCACTACTCCCACTAAAAAAACAGTAAAACTTCAGTGACAGTGTTCACACCTACGCATCTACCACCTATGAAATAATATCTCACCTTTTAGTTTAGCTTTTAGAGCCTTTAACAGTTGGGCTCCAAACTGCCTTTTGGCCTTCTCGTCTTTGGTCTGTGTTCTATTCAAAATCATTTACCATTTTTGTTAGATATGTTTTACATTATGTTGCTTGCCTTGAATTTGTTCTCCTGCCCTTTCTCTATAACTATGCATTTTCAAATCCTTCTTATTTTTCAAGCCACCCTCCTCCCTAATTCATTTCCCTATCATAATTCAGAATTAATCTGTCCCTCCTCTGAACTGCCACAGAAATATGAGAAATTTATTAACTTTTATTTTGTATCATTTATATACATGGACAAGTCATTCTTATTAGAATATTAACTTTCCTCACTGCATCCCACCACCTAGAATAGTGCCTTTCCCACAGTCAACAACCATATAAGTACTGTTGACTGAATAGATAGTGAATTTTTAGAAATAATTTCTTTTTTTCTTTTTTTGGTACCAGGAATTGAACTCAGGAGCACTTGAACTCAGGAGCACTCGACCTCTGAGTCACATCCCCAGCCCTATTTTGTATTTTATTTAGAGACAGAGTCTCTCTGAGTTGGTTAGGGCCTTGCTTTTGCTGAGGCTGGTTTTGAACTTGCAATCCACCTGCCTCAGCCTTCCAAGCTGCTGGGATAACAGGCATGTGCCACCATACGTAGCTAGAAATAATTTCATCTCTGAGTCAGTGGTTAGTGTATTTTCTTGAGTGAAATGGGTAAGTAAATTTATAAAATTAGAAATGCTAAAATGGAAATGTACAAGTATGCTTTACAAATTTGATTAATCTCAACATATATAGAAAGTAATCTTTCCTCTTCATTTTTTATTTATTGTACTTTCTTTGAACATATTCTGGTTTTCTTATCTAATTTCATTTATTTTATTAATTAATTTTAAGGTAATATTTTAAAATTACTTGATATTAATTCTTTAGTGTCTGTTGAGATTTGTTTTGAAGACTGGTTATTGACAGTGTTTTAAATGGTCTATGTGTACTAGAGAAGAATCTAGATTCTTTAGTGATAAGTCCAAAGTTGTATATTTGTGTATTAGGTCAAGCTTGTTATAATGTGCTATTTGAATCTTTTATATCCTT